TGAGTTTTGCGGGGAGGAAAGTATGTATTGGAGGAGAGTCATGTGAGGGTTTTAAAGGTACTAGTCTAGGACTTCTTAAATTCTACTAGTATGTTGGGATTTTTCCTATTCTTCAAATTGTGCATAGGTTATACACAAACTCTTGGTGTATTATATATTTCTTTTCTTTCCTTTTTTTTTTTTTTATAGAGAGTGGAATGGAAGGAGAGAGAGAGAAACATCTGTGTGAGAGAGACACATCAATTGGTTGCCTCCTGCACACACCCCGACCAGAGCCTGCAACCGACGGGTATGCCCTGGACTGGAATTGAACCCGGGACCCTTCAGTCCTCGTGCCGATGCTCTACCCATGGAGCCAAACCAGCTAGGGAGGCGTATGATATATTTATTTTTAAAAAAAGGGGTGAGGCAGTCAGGTTAGCAGCTGCTACAGCAACAAGACTCCTGTGCTTTGGATGACAGGGTGGGGCCAGCGAGGCCCAGCTCCAGACTGGTCGTTCCTGCCATTGAGAGAAAGTGGCTGGGAACCTGGGCCCCAGCCAACAACCAATGTCTCCTGCAGCAGGGTGAGGGGGGTGGGGAGTGGGGGGGGGGGGGCTGGCTGCTTTGGAAGCTGTCTCCTGCCCTGCCTGTCTCTGACCCTCAGCAAAGCCCCAACCTCCCTCCGGGGTCTCTTCGAAAGGACTGCCAGGGACACACCTACCGCACGACACACCTGGCAGCTGGAGGTGAGGCCACCTTATCGCCGGGCTGGCAGGTACAGGACAGAGAGTACAGGCCACCAGAGCTGTTTTTGGGAAATGCCATTAACTCTGCTGGGAGTGGTCTGGCCTTTGTCCCTTGTGAGACATGTGACAGTTGATGAAAATGTAATCTGGTGTAAACCGGCTTGAGCTCATCCGCCGGGGAACCAGCTTTGACCTTCCGGCTACTTCTAACAGCACAGACAAGCTTTCCTGTCTGTTCGGTGTCACTGAGGGAGGAGCGAGGTGGACGCAGGGGGTGGGCCAGGCTGGAAAGTAGACTGGGATCTTTGGGAGCACCAGGGGTTCAGATCTCAGCTCCAGCCTGGGCTCGCTGAGTGACTTTGGGCAAGTCACTTGCCCTCACTGATCCTATTTCTCTCGTTTGTTCATTGAGGATAGACACAGTCCCAACATCGCGGGGCTGTTGTATTAACTGAGGTAATGAAAAGAAAGAAAGAAAGAAAGAGAGAAAGAAAGAAAGAAAGAAAGAAAGAAAGAAAGAAAGAAAGAGAGAAAGAAAGAAAGAAAGAAAGAAAGAAAGAAAGAAAGAAAGAGAGAAAGAAAGAAAGAAAGAAAGAAAGAAAGAAAGAAAGAAAGAAAGAAAGGAAAGAAATGAGCAGAGCTGCGTTCATGGCACATTCTCCGTCGACACAAATCTCAGTCATCACAGGGGAGGACCGGAATTGGCCCGCAGTGGAGGGACCGCTCCGGCACTAAGCCCCCCTCTGCTTTAAGGAAAAAGTCTAGGAAAAGACGGATGTTCCCCAAGTGGCAAGGTCTGCCTAACCCACCATAGAGTAGACATGGCTCACACTCGCAGCGAAACGTCGTAACAGACTTAGGTCGCATTAAACAGGCAGAGCTAGCAATAGCGTTAGGAGTCCCGGCGAGCAGGGAGCTGCCCTGCCTGTTAGCACCCGAGCTGCTGCCTCCCGGGCGGACCTGCAGGGAGGGCTGCCCCGCGGGCCTGAGGGCTGCTTCTCTTCGTTGTATCTTCTTCTTCTTTAATAGATTTTTATTGATTTTAAAGAGGAAGGGAGAGAGATAGAAACATCAATGATGAGAGAGAATCATTGATCGGCTGCCTCCTGCACACCCCCTACTGGGGATTGAGCCCACAACCCAGGCATGTGCCCTTGACTAGAATCGAACCTGGGACCCTTCAGTCCATAGACCAGCACTCTATCCACTGAGCTAAACCAGCCAGGGCCGTTGTGTCTTCTTATCTTGGCATTTGCATCCTTTCCCATCTTCCTCTCTTCTCTCACTATCTCTCTGCTTCTCCTAACCACATCGCCACATTGTCTTGGCATCTTGATGCAACAATAGAGAAACTAAAATAATAATAATAATAATAATAATAATTCAAGGAAGGAGAGAGGAAAGGAAAGGAAGGAGGGAGAAAGGAGATGGGGTCCTGGGTCAATCAAACCTGATCTAACCCATCTGATCTTGTTGCTAGCATAAATCAGGCAGGGGCTGTGTGACCCTGAGTAGGTTCCTTGCCCTCTCTGAGCTTCAGGTCAATTGGGACTTTCAAGTCAGAGATGCTGTGCAGCGCTATGCAGTGTCACAAGGAACCTGCACAAGGAGGGCCTTTGATACCTGAGAGCCCTCGAGGTCCCCTCAGCTTGGTGGGACCCATTTGGGTCAGGGGAGTAAGAGAGAAAGGAGGAGGGGAGGAACAGGAACCCAGTGCACTGCAGAGATGGAGGCAGGGATCATCAATCCTCCACCCCTCCCGTGATTGCGCAAGACAGCTGGTGCCCCGCTTCCCCATGAGGCTCACTCATTTTCAAGCACCCCCAGTAGAAATCATCTGGAAAAAATTAATTAGCCCTGGCTGGTTTGGCTCAGTGGATAGAGTGTCGGCCAGTGGACCAAAGGGTCCCGGGTTCGATTCCAGTCAAGGGCAAATGCCTGGGTTGTGGGCTCTGTCCCCATTGGGGGGGCAGGGGGGGGGAAGGCAACCGGTCAATGATTCTCTCTCATCATTGATGTTTCTCCCTCTCCCTTCCTTGCTGAAATCAATAATATATACATATATATATAATGTAAATAAAATAAAACATACTCGTTATCCAAACCCCAAGGAAATCCTGGCCAAGACTGTTTCTCATCTCAGCTGCCGCAGCGGCTCGCTCTGCAGCCGAGGTCACGCATGGAAGGAGGATTTTGTTCCTTCCAAGGCCACTACTGTGTTTTATTTGTTGTCAATGGGCATGTTTTTATGGCTCTGCGTTACCTGCCGCACATTGTCCTCTCAGATTAAAATAATAACACCTTTAGTTAATAACACCTTGCACTTGGGAGTCGCTTTCATCCCAACAGCTCAAAGCCCTCTACAAACATGACCTCATTCATTCTCCCTGCACTGCGCTCCGGGGCGGGCGCTCCCAGGCTATCCAGCCCAGGAGGATGAGGCCCAACCAGGTTCCCAGAAGCCAAATGATCGATTACGCATTTCCCCCCTCGCAGCGCAAGTCACTCAGCCCAGAGCGACCTCAGGCCCACCCCCACCGGAGAGAACCGTAACCCGGTAACCGGGTCTCCCTCTGGCTTCGGGGTCTTGCCTTCCACGCCTCTCCCAAGTGCCTGTAGCTACGCCCTGCAGATGGTAAACATTAAACAACCCTTCAGGATAGGTGGCCTCAGATCCAGGAGGCAAGAGGTTTGGCAGTTTGGGCACTTTCAGGCCCCTGGTCTCCCTTGAGAACTCCTTACTTAAGACCTAAGGGCTCCTGCGGGCTGGATGCCTCTGCCCAGGTACATGCTGCCACTCACGGCCCTGGCATGTTTGGCATCTGTACGGACCTGTGAAAACGAGCCCCACAATGACAGTACTTCCTTGTTCTAGGGCTGCTTGTGGCCTGAGCGCCCTGGCGACGGAAGCTGCTGGCTGCCCACTTTTGTTTTCACCTTGCAATTACTGGAGGGAAGAGCTGCGCGCTGGACTTGACTCTCCGGCCGGCCGGCTGCACTCCCCGTCTCAGCCCAGGTACCCTGTGGGAGGCCAAGTGTAATTACTGCAAGAGAAACAGGTCTCAGCAGGCAAAAAGCTGACTCCTGTCCCTTCAACACAAACAAAAACAAAAGACTAACTGGGAAAAATTCTTTATAGTGCCTGAGGCTGTTTTTCATCAGTAATAAACATTGGGTGTCACTATTTCCCACTTTATATTCTGTTTATATGGTCCTGTTTTCTTCGATGGCGCGTTAAACCCACTTTAGGCAAACTCAGAAAAGGCTTGCTCTCTTCTTAGCCTCAAAAGATACTCTCGGATTGGCATTTCAGACCCAAAACTTAATACGTTTTTAAAGAAGCAGACATTCTAACAGTGAATCTCTAGTACTATTATCTTCCTACATCTCTGCCCCTTCCGCAGTCTGCTGCAACTCCTAGCTCTTTATCCACCCCCTCAATTCCCAAACACAGCCCTGAAGGTCAAATCCTAATCCAGGAGGTGGAGCACTCTAAACAAACTTTGTTTTTAAATGGCTGGGACTGAGAGCCAGAACCTGTATCGCACCCATGAAAAAGAGGGTAGAAATTAAATATCTGGTTAGGTCAATCAATTTCACAACAACAACAAAAATCTGAGTGTAGGATATTAGCGACTGAGAAAGTCTTATTTATTCCCTTGCAATTATATTTCGTGTACATTAGCATTGGTTTACATTTTCAGAGAGCTACGTTTTGGTCTACACACACACACACACACACACACACACACACACACAACTTGGACTTTGGGGTGGGTAGTGACTGGAAGGAGGCATGAAAAAAAGTACGTTATATTTTTTTTTAAAGGCTAAAAAAAAGTAGAGCTGCTTGAAAGATTTTTAAAAAAATAAACAATCTCTGAGGCTGGAGCAGCGGCGAGGGCTCTCTCTGCTTTCTATTTTGATCGTTCTGTTTCTCGAGATGACCACATCTTTCAGAGGAAATGAGTCAAAGCCACTCTGTCTTGCTTTTCCAGCTGAGCATGTTCCGTTTCAATGAAGTAATGAATGAACTTGGCCGCACCACCCCCAAGCCTACAACACCAAACAGAGGGGCCTGGGCCAATCAGCAGGCACTCCAGGTTTTCAAGTTGAGTTCAAACGGGCCCACGGGGCACCAATCAGCGCGCGCGGCTCCGCCCCAAACGCCGGGTCGTGGCCAATCACGAGCCCGGACGAGCCAAAACACAGCGGCCGGCCAATGTCCGGGCGCCCCACGGCGCCGACCTCCGCCAATGGGCGCGGCCGGGCAAAAAGGGAAACAGTGCGGGGTCCGCAGGCCGCAGGATTCGAACCGAACGTCCGCTCGGAACCGGGAGCTGGCCGAGCGGCGCGGGCCAATCAGCGGCGGCGGCTCGCGGCCCCCGAACGTTGGGACCCGGCCCCGCCCCGCGCTGTTGTTTGTGTGTCGGCGGCCGCGGGAGCCGGACCACGACACTCGCCCGGCGGGCAGCGGGGTCGGCGAGGGTCCGGAGGCCGCGGGCGGCGGGAGCGCGAGCCGAGGGCGGCCGGCCTCCCGCGGCCGCCGAGCCCGACCGCGCGCCGGCGGAGCCATGTCGGTGAACATGGATGAGCTGCGGCACCAGGTCATGATCAACCAGTTCGTCCTGGCCGCGGGCTGCGCGGCCGACCAGGCGAAGCAGCTCCTGCAGGCGGCCCACTGGCAGTTCGAGGTGCGTGCGGGCCGGAGCGGGCGCGCACGACCGGACCCGGGACCCGGGGCGGGCGGGGGGGGCGGGGGGGCCGCGGGCCCGGACGCCCAGCCGCGCGCCGCCACGGCGGGGGAGCGCTATTTATATCGCCCGTAAGGCGATCCGCGGCCGCGAGGTGGGGCGCGGGCCGGGGCCGGCCGAGGGGTCGGGGCCGGCGGCCTGAGCGCGGCGCCGCGGACCCCGCGGAGGCCGTCCGTCCGGGGGGCTGCCTGCCCCGGCCCGGTTAACCGCCTCCCGCCGCTGTTTGTCCGCAGACCGCCCTGAGCACGTTTTTCCAAGAAACCAACATTCCCAACAGCCACCATCACCACCAGATGGTAAGTGCGGCCGCCCCGGCGCGAGGGCCGGCTGGCCGGCGGGCGGCAGGGGGTCGCCTGGGCCCGGCCCCGCGCCCAGGGCGCCGCCGGGCCGCTGTCAGCCGCCCGCGGTGACAGCCATGTTGCCGGGAGCGCCGCGCCGCGATGTAAACAAAGAGCCAAAATGTCTTCCAGGAAAGCGGCCCGGCCGGGCTCGCCCAGCCCCGGTCCGGCCTCCTGGGCGCCGGCGTCTCGGTCTGAAGCCACGCGCCCGGGGCCCTCCCCGAGGCCAGGGTGTCGGAGGGCGGCGAGGGCGGCAGGGAGCGGAGAAGGGGGCTCGGATGAGAACTAGCCGGCTGGGCCCCGGGCAGGGAGGGCCCGGAGGGGCTGGGGGCTGGGCTGTCTGTTCCCCGGGAGCCCCCTCTTGCTGTTGGGGAGCCCCCTCTTGCTGTTGCGCTGGCAGCCCCCCATCCAAACAGCCCAGCTCCACAGGGACAGGAAGGAGATAAATCCACCCTGGCTGGGCTCGACACAGGGGGGTACGTTCTCTTTCCTGTTTATGGAAAAAAGGACAGACCCTGAGCACCGAGGACAGACAGACTTTGACCAGAAAATGCCAGGAATTTGCTTCTCATCTCAGCATGTGAACATACAGAAGCGCTGGGGACAGGAGTGGTCGGGCCTGGCTTTGCTTTCTTTTCCTGCTTTCCACGCAGGGGACATCCCTTCCCTGAGAGACTTGAAGGCCTGTTCCCCCACCCGCTCCCCCCTGGTTACCTATTACCCTGCTGGGAGGGGGGGAGGGACTGCCCCAGCCCCAGGGACTGTAAAACATTGCTCCCCGGAGATCTGTTGTGGTGCTGGGAGTGCATTTTCGGCATTTTGACTCTTGGTGTCCTTGCCCATGGCTGCCTTTTCAGAGGATCTGCAAGTGGTTCCTCTGTGTCGGGTCCGTGGCGCCCTCACCCTGTGAGGACACATGGAGAAGGGTCTGCCTGGCCCTTTAACCAGCCTTTCCCCCGGGTGGCTCATGCTGTACAGAAATAACAAACCAAACGCCTTGGCTATGACGGGAGAACTGCTGGTCGGGGCTGTGGCTGCTAAGGCCGCCCCCCCCCCCCCCCCCCGCATCTGACACCACTAACCTGGGGCACCCTGCCCCATCTCCTCTCAAAGGGGCCTTCGCTTGCCCCCCAGACCCACGGTGTCCAGAACAGCCATTCTGTGGTGCTGGGGCAGGGAGGCTCCTGGGTGAGAACTGGGGCTGGAGGTCCCTCTAGGTCCTGGGGCCCCTGATCTGCCAGTCCCAAGGTACTGCAGTCCTTTGAAGCTTCCTCGCCTGAGGCTGGTGTTGGGTTGTGTAACAGACCTGTGATCAGCGTACCCATCGGGCACCGAGGACTGGGGACCTGGCGGCCCAGTGCACACCCTGCCTGCAAGGAGCGAGTCGTTTCTCAGGGACAGTCAATCAAAGGGAAAAGTTAAATACAAGCAATAGCAACACGAGAAGTGACCCAGGGTGTGAGCCGTTGAGAAGTGGTTGTCCTGTCGGGGACTGTACAGTCACACGGTTGGAGGTGTCTCTCAGAGAAGGGGGCCTGGGTGGGGTGGGGAGGGGAGAAGCCCATGGACTGGAAGCCGTGGGACACTGGCAGGTGCAGTGGGCCTGTGTGCTTAAGAGCTGGAAAGCTCGTCTCTAGTTGTCAGAAAAGCACAGAGCTGGAGGGGCCTTTAGCGCATCTGGATCAAGCTCCTGATTTTACGGGACCAGAGGGGTTAAGGAACTTGCCCAAGCTCACACAGCAGGCAGACACAGGGTGGCTGTTTCAGGAGCAGTCTACTCTACTCTACTTGCTGGCTTGGTGAGCTGGGGAAGTTGGTCACAATGCTGTGATGCAATTGGCTTCTACCCCCCCCCCCCCCCATTCATTGTTTCCTGCTGCAGAGAAGTCAGCCCTGGGGTGGGGTGGGGGAGGGGTGGGGAATAGTGAAGGGAGGAGGGAAACAGGCTGGTCTGGGTGAGTCCAGTGGCTGCCCTGAGGCAGACAATGGTCAGGGCTCCCTAGCAGCTGCGGGAACAGGTCTGGGTCTGGCTGGGGCTTAGCTGCAGAGCCCCAAAGCTCCCTCCCTGCCAGGTGAAGAGACCTAGTATCTTGCTCCCCATCCTGGGCCTGGGGGAGGGGCCAGTGTTGCTAAAATTAGGAGAAATTCAAAGATAGACTCCCGTGGCTTCCTGGGAAAGGGAGAAGCTTGGCGAGGTCAGAGCCGACCGCTTTGTGCGGGCCTTCTCTGCTTCCCGCGCCCCTGGCGGGGTGCGCCTGGGGAGGGTGGATGGCGCCTCCATCCCCCCCATACTGTCCCTGGTTCACAGGAGAGTGCCAGTTCCAGCCCCCACCCCAGCTCCTGCCCTTCCTGGCTGCGGCTCCCTCATCAGGAGTGGCAAGGGATAGTGAGTTTGGGGAGCCCCCTCCCAGGGTAGAAGACAGCAGATGGGGGGTTTGTGGTGACCCCCAGGAAGAGGGCTGAGAGGGGCTGGACAGTCAGATGCCCTGCCAGCCGTGGCCAAGAGCAGCCTGGGGGGGGAGATGCTGGGACTCAGGAAACCGAAACCCCAGTTTTTGTCCTGGGGGAGCCCACCCACAAAGTGGCACCTGACTGTGTGCGGCTGGCGAAGGGCTGAGGAGGCTCAGAGCTTGGGCCTGCGGGCCTCTCCCGGCGTGGCCCCTGCAGTGGGTGTCCGTCAGTGATAGGCCCGGGCCTCAGTTCCCTCATCTGCAGTCTGGGAGGGTAACGGGAAAGCCTGACGAGGCTGGGAGACGGGAGACACTTGGGCTGGTGTTCCCGTGGCCTGAAGCCAACACGGGCCTCCAGGGTTGGCCCGGGAGGCAGACCCTGGGTCTGGCCGCCCTCCCTGGACCCACAGCCTCGGAACATCAGGCGGACTATTGACGGGCCAGTGGGCTTCTACCCGGGCTGAGGCCACAGTGGTGTCCTGGCTGCTCCCTGGCCTCGCTTTAACCTGACCCCGGCTGCTGGTGGGAATTAACCCTTTACTTCTGACGGGCCTCGGGTGGCCTTCCTCAGCACAGGAAGCACCCCTGGTTTGGGTAAAAATGGCCGGTGTGTCCTTATTTTCTCGTTCTTGTTGGCTTGGGCGAGGCATGCTTTGTGCTGTTGAAGCTGCTTACGGGCTGCGACTGGGAGTGAAGGGGCCGCTGGGTGAGCCCCACCGAGGGCCTGGGGCCAGGCAGTGAGGCTGGGACTCGGGCTGGTGGACAGCCCTCCCGACACCTGTGTCTCTCTGCGCAGATGTGCACCCCCAGCAACACGCCGGCCACGCCGCCCAACTTCCCCGACGCCCTGGCCATGTTCTCCAAGCTGCGCACGTCCGAGGGCCTGCAGAGCAACAACAGCCCCATGACGGCCGCGGCCTGCTCGCCCCCTGCAAACTTCAGCCCCTTCTGGGCCTCGTCCCCGCCCAGCCACCAGGCCGCCTGGATGCCGCCCTCCTCCCCGACGGCCCACAGCTTCCACCACCTCCACCACCCACAGCCCACGTGGCCCCCCGGAGCCCAGCAGGGGGGCGCCCCGCAGAAAGCCATGGCTGCCGTGGACGGCCAGAGATGAGACTGGACACGCCGCGCGCTGGGCTGGAGCTGGGCAGTCTGTGTCGTGGGGACACAGGAGGGCCGGGTCGGGGGTTGGGGCGGGCGGGGGTTTCCTGAAGATCGCACTGGAAGATTTTATAAAGGAATTTTGGGGGGTGGGGGGAATAGCAAACTTCCTGAGCCACTTGGGTCCTTCAGGAGTTTCTCTTCAGGCAAGTTTTTTCTGTTTTTAATATATAACTGTAATATATAAATATATAAATATGACTAACTATGTGAACGGTGCTGGCTGGTCTGGGGTACTGGGGTCAGAGGGAGGGGCCAGCACCCCCTCCTCCAGTCCAGGGCAGGTGCTGCACGGCCAGGTGTGTGATGTGCGGGCACACGGTGTCTGCCTGCTCTCAAAGTCACGGTCATGCTTCTGGAATTGGGCGGAAGGGGCCACCGGAGGCACCTGGCAGCCCAAGGTGTGGGGGGCCTCCTGCCATCAGGAGACATCGCCACCCCCACTTGGAGGCTGGCACCGAAGAGCCATCGGGCAGGGCCCAGACTCGGCCTCGCTCGCTCAGGCCTGCCTCTTGCACCCTGTCCTGGCCAAGTGGATGCCGGGAGGAGCACCTGCCTTTGGGTTCAGTTCCCAAGTCCATCATTTCACCAGGTGAAGTTCACATGTAAAACTTGAAGGCTTTTCTGACTTTCCAGGATCGGGGCCTTGTCTGTCCTGGAGCAAAGGCGCTCCTTGGGGGAGCAGGGGCTGCGCCCTGGACATGGGGCTGGGGGTCCAGACCAGGGCCTGATGGACAGGCTGGTCCAGTTGAATGGGGGGGCGGCGGGGGAGGACGGGTCAGGACTTGGTTACTGCGATCTCGCTCCTTGACCTTCCTTTGTTGCCCGTCACAGGCCAGGCTCAGCCCACATGGTCTCCGCTACAGTGCGGGGCTGCTCCTTCCCCCTGATGGCCGCCCAGCCCCTTCCTCCTGGGCCCACCTCTGCTCGGCCATCGCTGCCCTGGGCCTCCTTCCTCGGGGGTGGCGGGACCAAAGGTGAGCCAGGGCTGCTGGGGAGCCCAGCGCCGGGCGGGCTCAGAAGAGACCGTGCCAGGCAGGACCAGCAGGGCAGCGGCCGGGGGGTGAGGAGCTGTTCCCTGTGCCGGGGCTGGCCCAGGGCCGGATCCCTCCTCAGCCCCTGGCCCCACTGTGGGCCACCCTGCTCGGCCGCTGTGGGGCTGCACCTGTGGGAGGGGAGCCGGTGCAGCTGCCCCTGCGCCCCCATGTGATCCTGCCCTTTGAGGCTGGGTTTGTCCTTTCAGTTTTGTTTCCTGGTTGGAAACCCCTGAGGCTCCTCCCATGGGCACCCCTGCAGCTGCCCACCTGTGCTTTCCAGGCGGGGGACAGCCCCTGCGCCTGGGGTGGTCCTGCTGGGACTTCCGCCCCCACGTGGCCCTGCCTGGCCGCCTGGGGAGTGTCACCCTTGTCCTGGGGGGGGCGGGGAGAGGCCTGTCCCTGTGGCTGCCCCTCCCTCCCAGGCTGGCGAGTGGATTCTAGGCCAGGGACCTGCCTTTCTTAGCGAGAGTGAGAGAAACAGGATCCCAGCAGGAGCGGGGGGCTGGCCTGCTCACCTGCCTACGGGGCAAGGGTGCTGGCGTGGGGGTGCCCACCAGACTGCCCCTTGGCCAGGACAGGGTGCCATCGAGCCTGAGTGTCCCTCATTCCTTAGAGATGAATGGCGTCCCTGCAGACGGGGATGGAGGGGGAGCCCCTGCGGGGGGGGGTGGGGGGGGTGGCGGGGGGGAGGAGCACCTGCCTTTCCCGTGACACCTCGCAGCCCCGCCCTCCCTGCCCACAGGGGTGGGGACTGGGGAGAAACCCTTTTCTGGGCTGTTTCCTGCCACACTTTCCTGTGAGGCTGTCACCCCTCCCCTCACACCCTAAAGCAGGCCTCTGGCCCCCAGGTTGCTTTCCCATGGGGGGTGGGAGAGGGACTGGGGGTGGGGGATCCCCACCTTTGAGGAGGGAGCCAATGAGAACAGACTGAGGCACAGACCTGCTGCAGTGACTTGAGAGTCCTTGGGGTGGGGCAGCTCTGCCTTGTCCCTGGGTTGAGGGGGCGGGGCCTGGTCCTGTGTAGTTGCTACACCAAGTGCACGCCTGCTCCTGTCCCCCCACCTGCCCAGATCTTTAGCTCAGGGACCCAGCACTGAGCCCTCTTGCCTGTTGGGGCAAGGGGACAAGAGCAAGGGAGCTTCAAGGGCGGGGGCAGGAGGGGGGGCCTCCGGGACCCCCTTTTCTCTCTCTCGGGGTTGGGAGGAGAAGGGAAGAGAACGGCCCAGCCCGGGCAGCCCCTGCTCTGAGCCTCCTGCCCCCGCGGGGTAAGCTGAGCACCTCAAACAGAAACCTTGCCAGGTGGCTGGTGGCAGTGCTCCCGGGCTCTGCGCCAGGAGCTGGGCACTGCCCTGAGCCCGCTGCAGGAGAGCAGGGGCAGCTGCCACCCTCACCTTTGCTCCAAGGTACAACTTGCTCCCCGACACCGTGCGTCCGACAGGAAGGCAGGGCCGTGGCAGGGACGGCAGCGGCCCGTCCAGCCCTGGTCAGGGGAGAGCTGTTCCGCCCGCTCCCTGGGAGGACGGCTCCGTCTGGGGGGCACTGGCCTGATTCTCACGCTACAAGCCAGACGCCCTCTCCCGGAGGTCTGCCGCCTGGGCCCCCGGGCACCTTCCGAGCCAGGACAGGGAAGCCAGCTTCTTCCGAAACATTTATTTATAGCTCTGCTCAGTGAGCAGAGGGGGTCCTGGGACCCCGGGTGGGCTCCTCCATGCCCTCCCCGGGGGGCATGTCCATGTGCATCGCCATCCCGCTGGGGCTGGGCGGGTGGCCCGCATTCGGCTGGGAGAGGCGCCCCTGCGAGGAGACCGGTCGGTCTGTGTGTTGCCGAGAAGTAGCTGCAAGACAGGAGGGGCTGAGGGCTCTGCCTCGCTCCCTGCGGCCTCGCGGCCCCGCAGCCCCTGCTGCACAGGGGACAAGTGCTGGAGGGCCCTGCCCTGGGCAGTCCGCACGGGAGCCCCGAAGCAAAGCTCCTTTATCATCGCCGAGTGGAAACCACACCCGCCCCCACCAGGCTGAGAGCCCCGCTTCGGTCACGTTTCCTGGTGAACGGGCTGCTTAGGCCATAATCACACATGAGCAGGGATGTCTGAGGACGCCCCTCCCTCCCTCCTGCTCCCATGACATTTCGAGTGCCCTTGCTGTAGACAGTGGGGTGCCAGGGAGAAGGGAGTGCAGTACCCCCAAGAAAACTGCCACAAACCGCGCTCTGTCCACCTCTGAGCCCCCTCTCGCAGCCTCGTACCTGGGCCTCCGGAGCCTGGGCTGGGCCCCCAGCGCTGCTGCTTCCTAGGGGGGCCTCGGGCCTGGGGCCTCAGTGTAGGTGAGGCTAGCAGGGCCCTCCCCTAACGCGGGCCCGAGGACTCAATTGTTCCCACGTGTAAAGCCCCACCGGGCGGGCCCGTGAGCTGAGCAGCCCTCAGTGCAGGCAGGTGCCCTGACCACCGTCAGCTGCTTCGCTTCCTCCCGCCGCGCCCGGAGCTGGGCCTGCAGAGGCGTCGCAGCGCACAGGCCTGGGGCCCTGACCTCCAGCTTCTGCAAGTGCCGTGGGTCCGAAACCTCGGGGGCGGGGGGCACGCCTCTCCTTGGGTTCCCTGGGGCCCCACCCAGCGGCAGTGCCCGTCACTGACGGGGAAACAGGCCGAGAGGTGCTGGAAAGCGACCGGCTCCGGGCTCCGGGCCGGCGCCCTTCCTGGCCCCGAGTCTGGCCTCACTTGGGAGGCCCTGAGCCCCCTGCTTTCCGGGCAGGACTGAGCCCCACACGCGGACAGCGGAGATTTCCAGCAAACCTTCCGAGCTGGGGGCCAGGAGGCCTCGCAGGCAGGAGCAGACGGAAGGGTCCTTGGGGCCGTGTCATGCCCTGGGCGCAAGGGCCGCCACACAGCCTGTGAGCACGCGTGGGCAGGGGCGGACTGGGGCCTGGAGCCAGAGTCTTGGGCTGCGACCCTGTCCGTTTCCTCTGAAATGGGGCCTTTCATAGCCTCTGCCCCGCAGACGAGTCCACCCCGCACTCAGTGGCCATGCGTTTTCTCTTCTCCTCCAGGCCCCGCCCTCAGCTCCCGGCCCTGCCTCTCCCGGGGAAACCGGGCATCTCCCAGCCATTCGCAGGTGAGGGCCTGGCGGGAGGGCTCCGCCCAGAGGGCAGCTACCTGAAGTGCCGCCAACCATCATGTTGGCGCTCTGAGGCCGCAAGGGCAGCGGGCTGCTGTCGCCGAGGGCCGGCGACCGGTGCGCGTGGGACCGGGATGGCTTCATCTTGTGCTTGTTGTTCCCGGCGCCTGGTGGGGACAGTGGAGAGAAAGGTCCCTTCTCAGACACGACAGAGCTCCGTGGGCACTCGGGGATGGGGAGGGCTGCGGGCCGCTGGGCACAGCCAGCCTGAGAGAGACAGGGCCCGCGTGCTGGCTCAGAGCTGGGGCCGGACGGCCGTCTGCTCCTGGCTCAGAGCTGGGGCTTTGGGGGACGGAGTGTTTGGAGACGGAGGTAGAGGAGGCAGCCAGGGGCCAGGCCTCGAGTGCCTGGCCTTCCAGGAGCAGCACCATCCTGGGGGCTGAGGCGGAGCCTACAGGCGGCTGGGCCTCCTGGACACTCACTGTCTTTGTTCGGGATGCCTGGCAGCCTCATGTCCATCCGTCCCTTGTAAATATGTCCATCCAGGCCCAAGATGTCCACTTCGTGGTGCTGGGGAGGTGAGCGGGGGCATCACCACGTGGCGCACAGAGGTTTCCCTCTGGCCCTGTCTCCTCGCGGCCTGGGCGCGGCCCGCAGTCCTCCCGACTGCAGCGCCCACCGAGCTCAGCGCCCTCGCGGGGCTCCGGGCGGCACCGGGCAGATGGGCCGGGAAAGGAGGTGGGGGTGCTACTGTTCTCAGGGCCCTGCTGGAGGCCTCGTGCCAGGTGGTGGGTGGCCAGGATGGCATTCTTTTCCCCGCCAAGGTTAAGAACCTGAGGCTTTAACTGGGTCTGAGAAACTGCCTCGCCCTAGCTGGTGTGGCTCAGTGGATAGATGGGCCTGCGGACTGAAGGGTCCCGGGTTCGATTCCGGTCAGGGCACACACTCGGGTTGTGGGCTCAATCCCCAGTAGGGGGCGTGTAGGAGGCAGCCGATCGATGATTCTCATCATTGATGTTTCTCCCTCTCCCTTCCTCTCTGAAATCAATAAAAATATATTTTTAAAAAAGAAAAAGAAGCTGCCTCCAGGCCGAGGGCAGGATGAAGTGCCCTTGGTGGGTCTCCGGAGGACTGGGGGCCCGGGGCCATGCGCCCCCCCCCGCCCATCCCCCACCGCTCGGGCAGCGCCCCACCTTCCCGGCGACCTGGCTGTCCTCGGGGAGCAGTCCCTGCGGCAGGTGCTGCAGGCGGGTGCGGCGGTAGGGGTAGGTGAGGGTGTGGCTGCCCCCGCAGTGCCGCGACACCGTGGCGAAGCTGTAGTCCGTCATCTCCGACACCCTGTGAGGAGGACAGCGAGGGACGGAGCGGGTGACCTCGGGGGGCCTGCCAGAGGGAGGGGGCAGCTGTCCTCAGGGGTCTCTGGGGCCAGGGCAGCGCAAGGGGCAGACAGGCGGGTGCGTGAGCAGAGCCACCTCCTGGCCAGCCATCGTGAGGACCACACTCTCTCTCACACTCACTCTCACTCACACTCACATACACACGCACACTCTCATACGCACACTCACACTCTCTTACTCACACATACACTCACACTCACACACAGACTCTCACAGACTCTCACACAGACACACACGCACACACACTATTTTTTGTTAATCCTCACCCAAGGATATTTTTCCATTGATTTTTAGAGAGAGTGGAAGGGAGGGGGAGAGACACACCAATGTGAGTGAGACACATCGACTGGCTGCCTCCCGCACACACCATGACCAGGGAAGGGGATCGAGCCTGCCACCGAGTACCTGCCCTTGACTGGAATGGAACCTGAGACCCTGCAGTCCGTGGGCTGACACTAACCACTGAGCCACCCGCCAGGGCCACCCCCACACACACACCCTCCTCCACAGGGCGTTCCCAGCGGCGGGCTGAGGCGTTCCCACGCAGGGCTCGGCCTGCACCCGTCCTACCGCTTGCAGCAGGGGGAGCCCAGGCACTGGGCCTGCAGCAGTTCGTGGATCATCTGGCTGCTGGCCTTGACCGAGCCCCCGTAGTGGAACTGCACCTTCTCGATGTCCATCAGCATCTTGGAGTGCATGGTGCGCAGGCGCCCCACGCTCCGCTCCATCGACGCCAGGTCGGCCCGCGGGAAGGCGAGGTTGCCCAGCTTGAGGCTGCGGGTGCGAGCAGAAGGGAGGGTGAGGCGGCCGCACAGGCCGGACCCGTGCCCAGGCCGGACCCCGCGCCCGGCTCCGCGGGACTCGGGTGGGCAGGAGCCCTTTCCGCCGTCCCCAAGGGACCACGCCCAGGCTTGCCAGGGAAGGTCTGCTGAGGGGGGCCGTGCAGGAGAGCCCCCCGGAGAGAAGCCAGCTCCTCCAGCCAGCCCGGGGGCCTAGGCCCCTCAGCACAGTTTGAAACCCCCCCTTTCCCCTGAGCCCCATCCCCAGGAGGTGGAAAGGCTTCGGGGAGGGGCACAAGGTCCAGAGGCGCCCTGAGCGGCCTCTCGCCGAGTGCTGCCAAGCCCCGGCTGAGGCACTGGAGGGTCTGGGAACGGGGGTGAGGAGGGAAGGTGCCGGCAGCCTTGGCGAGGTCCCCCCAGGACTCCGAAGGCAGGTGTGACTGGTCGTGCCTCTTCTGCCTGCCCCACTCTTGCCCTGGGAGACCTGGTGCCAGCTCAGAGGCGGCCCTGGTGAGGGGGAGCCCGCACCGCTGTCTGTCCTGCCTCCCCGCACAGCCCTGCCCACGACTCCCCCGCGTACTTGCGGCTCTGCTGCCGGACCTGCTCCAGCTCAAAGACGGTGTAGGGGCGGGTGGAGCGGTGCCCGGGCAGGCTGGGCCCCACGGGCGTGGTGGGGAGGACCCTGGGCGGGCAGAGGGAAGGGAGGGTCGAGTGTGAGAAATCCCATCCTCCCATCCCCCACCCCCTCCCCACGGACCTCCTGCCCCCGGAGCCCTGCTGGGGGTGGGGCGAGGACCAGGCGGGCAGCAGGCCAGGCAGACAGGAGTGGGCCCACGAGGGAGGGGGGCAGGGAGTGGGGCCGACCAGGCGTGGGCACTCACTGTCCGGTCACGGCTGTCTCCAGGGGACGGTCACAGGACAGGCAGTGGAAATGTGCCAGGAGCTGCCTGTGGGAGGGGACCCGTGAGGGTGGGAGCGGAGCGTGGAGAGCCCCTCCAGGCAGGCGGGAAGCTCGGCCCACCCACAGGCCCCGGCCTGGAGGCCCGTCCTGTCCCTGCTCCCCAGACTCACCCCCTCCCAGACATGCCCCTCTTGGTGCGGGTCCGCACCCACCTGTCCTCACCCACGCGGCCCCTAGGGGCGCTGTGTAAGCCTCGGGCGCCCCCTGGCGGTCAGTCATGGAAACGCTGCGGGCCAGGCGGCCATGGGCCAGGTTCCTCGCCCCCCTTGCGTGCTCTCACCTCTGGGGCCTGGGGACTCCCTCCCATGGCCCGAGAGTCTCAGCCTCACTCCCCTCCTTCTTCACTGTCCTATGGGGTGGCCTCAGCCCTAATACACCATCACTCCTGCTGGGGGGCGGTCGCTGCGCGGTGGGAGCCCATCACCCAGGGACCCCCGGCCGCCATCTCCAGCCCCGTGGAGCTCACCGCCGCATGCCGGCCGCCTCGTCCGCCTGGTAGAGCGGGGAGCGCTCCTTGAGCTGCTGCCGCAAGGACTTCCACCGATCCTCCAGCAGCTGCTTCACGGGGTCCAGCTCCAGGCGGTCCAGCTGCGGGCGGGGGGACCCGGTGAGCCCTCAGGCGGCAGGTGGGAGCTCTGCGGGCCGGAGAGGTGGCCTTGCCCTAGTCCAGGGGCCCTGGAGCCTCGCTGCCCTCACCTTGCTGTCCATCTCGGTCAGGAGCCGGTCCAGCATCTTCTGCCAGTCCCGCTCCTGCCCGCTCATCTTGGCCACCAGCTCCTGCATCATGTGGTTCAGCTGCTCCGTGGTGGCATCAAACTGCATGCGGCTCACTTTGGCCTCCAGAGCACTCTTGTCGGCCTTCTGCCCGGAGAGAGGAGGAGGCCGCCCGATGGGAGAGGGCCGTGGAGGGCCCCCTGAGCTGTCACCCTGATGCTGAGCCTAAATCCCCCCCCCCCCCCGGCTCCCCTCCACCTCTGACCTCCCAGGCAGGAGGGCCCCGCAGCCTGGCCCTTACCACTTCAATCTCCATCTCCAGGTGCCCCCTGTTGACCTTTTCCTTCTCCAGCTTCTCCAGACCCTGGTACAACACCTGGGAGGCCGCGGAAGGGAGAATGAGGAGCGAGGAGCTGACGGGCAGGGTGGCTGGAGTCAGGCCGCACGCGGCCCCGCCCCCCCGCCGCGCTCACGTCGATGTCCCTCTGCTTCTGCCGGTGGTCCTCGATGAGGTTGCCGGTGATGAGGTTGAGCTTCTCGCAGTCGCCCTGCACCTGCAGGATGGCGCTCTGCACGTGGCCCAGCAGCTCCTCGTCCTGCGGCGGGAGGGACCAGGGCCGCTCACTGAGGCGGCTGGGGCTCCCCAGGGCCGTCCTGCTGCCCCCGAGAAGGTGACCCTTAAAACATCACCCAGCAGGCAGGTGTGGCTCAGTGGTTGATCATCGACCTATGAACTACGAGGTCACGGTTCGGTGGCCAGTCAGGGCACATGCCAGGTTGCGGGCCTGACCCCCAGTGGGGTGCGTGCAGGAGGCAGCCGATCAATGATTCTCTCTCATCATTGATGTTTCTATTTCTCTCTCCCTCTCCTTTCCTCTCTGAAATCAGTACAAATATATTAAAAACAAAACAACATCACCCAGCGGATTGGCCAACCTCCAACCCATTGGTTGTCCCCACAATGTCCCTCCGACAGCGGGCGGCTCCCACGCTTTCTCTGTGACACCAGCCACCCCCCCCCCCCCCGACAGAGCCTCAGCCCTGCCTTCTTGGGGGGCCTGGTCGGCCAGTGGGGTGATCAGTAGAGCTGACCGAGGCTCAAAGGGGTGAGCTGCCCTGCGGCCCGAGAGTCAGCATGTGGGCTACAGCCTCCCCGCCTGCCCGGGGCTGACCAGAAGCCCAGGATCCAGGAGGCAGGAGGCAGGGCCGTGTGCCTGTCCCCACCCGCCAGCAAGCCTGCCCTTTGGAGGGAAGTGGGAAGGGGCCTGGGGGGAGAGTGGGTGCTTCCTGAAGCTGTGCCAGTGCCCCCACAGCTTGTGGGGGGCCCTGCTCCACCCACATCCAGCTGTGCCCTCCCAGCCCACGGCCCCGCCTCCCCAGCACTACTCGCTGGCACCCTGTGGGAGGACCGGGACTTTTGTGGGGTCCATCACGGAAAACTAAGCCGAGGGACTCTATCTGCCACTCCCCGCGCGGTGCATCTGCCCGGGCCCCGTGCGGTGCATCTGCCCGGGCCCCGTGCGGCTGCCCAGGGAGCCGCGGCACACCTGTCTCTGGAGCTTGGCTTTCTTGGACGGCCGCGAGGCAGCCAGGCTGGTGACCATGTGCTGGAGCTGCTCGTAGCGCTGCACCAGCGTGCTGACCTGGTGGCTCAGGTCCAGGCTGCAGGCCGGGCAGGTGGCCTTGGGGTCAATCTGGCCAGGTATCAAGGTGACTGGGGGCTTCCGCGGGGCCATGCTCATGGTCAGCAGCGTGGACGACGAAGCCAGCATGTTCTCGATGATCGTCCTGAGCTTGTCCAACTGGGTGCGGGCGAGAAGGCAGGCGCAAGGCAGTGAGCGAGGCACGGCCACACACACACACACACACACACACACACACACACACACACACGGAGGAGGAATGGAGGGGGACAGCCAATTCTGAGAAGGGCCTTGGTCCCTGTGCTGAGAGCGTGGCCTCCTCACCTGGTTCTGCAGGTAAAGGGAGGCCTCAGAGACCGAGTGCTCCATGTTGACCTTGCCCTGCTCCTGGCTCTCCCTCAGGTCGGACAGCTCCTTCTCGATGTCGTTCACGCTGACTCTGTGGCACAAGGGACGGCCTGGCTCACCACCAGCCCCAGTGCGGAGCCCGGCCCCCAGGGATGGAGGGGGATGGACCAGCGCCTGGTCCCGGCTTGGCTGGGAGCCCGCAGCCCTGCTGTGCCAGCCGTGGTGCCGAGTGCCCTGTGGCAGGTGGGGCCTGGCCCTGCAGAGAGGGCCCTAGTGAGCACTCCCTTCCAGCTCCCCCTGGGGACAGTCGAAGGAGCTCTTTTTTGGGAGGCGGGGGGGGGGGGGGGGGGGGGGGGGAGCGGGGTGCGTGGAGGTAACACTTCCAAGTCCTGATGCTGCGCTGTTTCAGGAACTTGGGAAACTCCCACCAGCAGCTTGCACTAGACGTGGGCAACCAGAAGAGCAGACATGACCCAGGCCAGAGACAGGGTGTGGGCCAACCAGGCTGGCTCCCAGCTGCTCGGCTGAGAGCAGGGTCTGCCGGGGCGGGGCATTTACCTGAGGAGACCCAGCTGAAAGCTCAGCGGGCCAGCTGCCACCTCCTTCCCCACTTCTGGCAGCCCTCCGCCCTCCAGTAACCTCTGTATCTTGTCCAACTACAAATCCAATGGAAGAGGTGGGTCAGGCAGCCTGCAGCCTTCGTGAGCACCCCCCCCCCTCCCCCCATCCCTGACCCTAATCCAACTTGCTGACAAAAGCCAAGGTTCCTTCCTGACCCCCCTACCTCCCTCCCTCCCTCGTTCTCCCCCTCCCTCCCTCCCTCCCTCCCTCATTCTCCCCCTCCCTCCCTCCCTCGTTCTCCCCTCCCTCCCTCCCTCCCTCCTTGGCCTCCCTCCCTCTCTTCCTTCCTCCCACCCTCTCTCCATCCCATGATGCAGACCAGTGGTCGACAAACTCATTAGTCAACAGAGCCAAATATCAACAGGACAACGATTGAAATTTCTTTTGAGAGCCAAATTTTTTAAACTTAAACTATATAGGTAGGTACATTGTTATTAACTTAATTAGGGTACCCCTAAGGCTTAGGAAGAGCCACACTCAAGGGGCCAAGGAGCCGCAGTTTGCTGACCACTGAGTAGACAGTCTTCAGTAAGAAGACAATTAAAGCCCTGGCTGGTGTTGCTCAGTGGATAGAGCGTTGACCTGCAAACTGAAGGGTCCTGGGTTTGATTCCAGTCAAGGGCACGTACCTCAGTTGCGGGCTCGATCCCTGGCCCTGGTCAGGGTGCATGCAGGAGGCAACCAATCAATGTGTGTCTATCATATCGATGCTACTCTTTCTCTCTCTCTCTCTGTCCCTCTCCCTTCTATTCTCTCTAAAAATCAATGGAAAAATATCCTCTAATGACGACTATATACATATAAAAAAAGACAGCTAAAGCCCTAGTTGGTTTGGCTCAGTGGATGGAGTGTCAGGCCGCGGACTGAAGGGTGCAGGTTCAATTCCCGTCAAGGGCACGTACCTCAGCTCCTGGGCCCTGCTTGGGGCGAGTGTGGGAGGCAACCAATCGATGTCTCTCCCACATGGATGTCTCCCCTCTGTCTCTCCCTCTCCCTTCCACTCTCTCTGGAAATCAATGCAAAAATATCCTTGGGTGAGGATAAAAAAAAAAGATGACAACTGAAGACCCGGTAGCCCTCGCCATGACCACTGGCCCCGACAGTCCCACACACACTGGGTCCCAGCGCTGCGCCCGCGGGCTGGCCTGGCCTTCACTGGCAATGGCCGCGCGAGAGAACGGGCTCAGCTAAACCCCAGCTTCGAGCACCAGGTTTTCCCCCAGGAAGTGACCGCGGCAATGTCTGAGCCGCATTCCCCGCCTGATGGGCTGGTAGCGATGCGGTGACAGGACTGCCGGCCATCCACGCGCAAAGGGCAGGGGGCGCGCTGGCGCCAAGGCCGGGCAGCAGCCCTCCCTCACTCACTTTTGCTTTTTCCTGCCGAACCTCTTTGGTCAGGGTCTTGAGGGCCTTCAGCTGCTCCTGCAGGTCTGGTGGGATGGTCTTTTGGACTATGGGAAATGGGCGCTCAGAGTCCGAAGGCTTAGATCCCCACTTCCAGCACCCCCGCCCCGGAGTGAAGTTACCCCAGAGAACGCAGGACTCGGGGGAGGGGAGGGAAGAAAGGAGACAGGAGTGTCCGCAGCCCAGAAAAAATCCACCGAAGGCTTAACATCCTATGGGGCCTTGGGACCACTGGCCCACAGTTTGCACCCAACTCCAAAATCTTCATTATTCTCTGGACCCAGAGCTGTGAATGGACCCAGAACTGCGAATAGACAAAGGTTACGTTTGCTTCTTCAACATTCTCCCCTCTGACCCCCACCCGATGCTGTTGGCTTCCTTTGCCCCAACATTTCCCCAGCTGCTCTCCAGAGAGCCTGGCAGAGGCACAGCCTGCCTCATTCCTCCCCTGAGGCTCCTTCACATCTTTCAGACCCTAAAGCAGGGAAGCAGGGGTGGGCAAACTTTTTGACTCGAGGGCCACAATGCGTTCTTAAACTGGACCGGAGGGCCGGAACAAAAGTATGGATGGAGTGTTTGTGTGAACTAATATAAATTCAAAGTAAACATCATTACATAAAAGGGTACGGTCTTTTTTTTTTTTTTTTTTAGTTTTATTCATTTCAAACGGGCAGTAGTTTGCCCACGGCTGCCCTAAAGGCTCCAGGAGGGGCGGGGATTGTCCGGCCCGCAGGCCACACAAGGCCTGAGAAATCATTTGGTCTGGCCCTGCCAAGGCCTTAGAGGTGAGCTAATTAAATGTTTGCAGGCTAGTGTTTAAGTTGGTAATTCTGTATGGCCCACGAATGATATTATAAATAGCCAAATGGCCCTTGGCAGAAAAGAAAGGTTCCCCACCCCCTGCTCTAGGGGAACCCAGAATGGCTAAAAGCAGACATTCTATTTTCGGGGATTCGGGCAGAAGAGCGGCCGCCGGGGGGAAAAGGTGGGGAAAAGGATGAAATCAACTTAGAATGAAGACGTGGTCTCTCCTCCACGTAGGTGTTACCCACCCATCATCGCAAGCAGGTACTGGATCTTCTCCAAGTCGGTTTCGCCAGCTTTCTGCGCATCCAGGGTCCTCAGGCTCTCCTTGAGCTCTGTGTAGAGGCCGATGAGCTCTCCCATCAGGCGGAATGTCTCCACTGCGCTGGGGAAGCTAGAAGCCACTTTCTCCAGGGAATCGAGTTTCTTAGACTCCATAGAACTCGGTTCTTGTGAGACTTGCCTGGATTTGCCAAGGGAGTCCGTACTCTGAGCCGAGGGGACATTTGGACTTGGGGGAGGCTGAGTATACCCACTACGTTGGCCTGGATCGACACCCGAGTACCTTGGGCTGTAAGGGCCAGGATACGTGAATGGCATCGCACCACCCTGGTCTATGCCTCGCTGAGAAGGGTCTGTTGGTACCAAACCCTCCTGGTCCATACTAGGCGACACCCAACCTTGCCTGGATAGGCGTGGTGACACCTGACCATGTTGATCTCTGCCAGGAGGTGCCAGGCCATGCTGATCTGGGCGTGGAGAGCCATGAGGCTCCGCGCCTGATGGTACCAAGCCTTGGTGATCAGCACCAAGCTGATCTGTTACTGGTTCCACTAAACCCTGCTGATCGATATCAGGCTGCATGGAACCAGGTGGATACGCACCCGGCTGTGCCAAATCATGCTGATCAACTCCAGGTTGGACCAAACCAGGCTGACCTGCACCAGGTTGGACTGAACCACGCTGATCCATTCCAGGTTGGACCAAACCAGGCTGACCTGCACCAGGTTGGACTGAACCACGCTGATCCATTCCAGGTTGGACTAAATCAGGCTGACTTGTACCCGGTTGGAGTAAACCAGGTTGACCTGCACCAGGTGGGACCAAACCAGGTTGACCTACACCAGGTGGGACTAAACCAGGTTGACCTGCACCAGGTGGGACCAAACCAGGTTGACCTATACCAGGTGGGACCAAACCAGGTTGACCTGCACCAGGTGGGACCAAACCAGGTTGACCTGCCACACCAGGCTGCACGAAACCATGTGGATAGACGCCAGGTTGAGCCAAACTATATGGATATGCACCTGGCTGTACAAAACCAGGTGGATATTGACCAGCCTGTACCAAACCATGTTGATCAACTCCAGGTGGGATAAACCCAGGCTGGCCTGCACCAGGTGGGACAAAACCAGGCTGACCTGCACCAGGTGGGACAAAACCAGGCTGGCCTGCACCAGGTGGGATAAACCCAGGCTGGCCTGCACCAGGTGGGACAAAACCAGGCTGGCCTGCACCAGGTGGGATAAACCCAGGCTGGCCTGCACCAGGTGGGACAAAACCAGGCTGGCCTGCACCAGGTGGGACAAAACCAGGCTGGCCTGCACCAGGTGGGACAAAACCAGGCTGACCTGCACCAGGTGGGACAAAACCAGGCTGACCTGCACCAGGTGGGACAAAACCAGGCTGGCCTGCACCAGGTGGGACAAAACCAGGCTGGCCTGCACCAGGTGGGACAAAACCAGGCTGGCCTGCACCAGGTGGGACAAAACCACGCTGGTCCATTCCAGGTGAGACCAAGCCAGGCTGACCTGCACCAGGTGGGAGCACACCGTACTGCAGTGCGCCTGGTTGTATGAAGCCAGGCGTTTCCAAACCGGGCTGTACAAAACCTTGCTGATCTCTTAAAGGTGGAACCAATCCTTGTTGATCCATGCCAAATATTGGCAATCCGTGCTCATCTGTGCCAATGGGTCCCACACCACTCCCGTCCATCGCAGGCCGCTCCATGGCACGTTGGTCCGGGCCACGAAATCTCACCCCATACTGCTGTGCGCCAGGCGGAACCATACCAGGCTGTGCGGGACCAGGGAGTCCCCATCCTTGCTGATCTCTGGCAGGTACCCACGGTGGCATCACATTCTGCTGACCCATGCCAGGTGGTACCGGTCCCTGTTCCTCCGTTCCAGGTGGCATCAGGCCCGGCCTGAAGGGGAGGCCATATGGGTAAGCGCTAGGAGGTTGAACCTCAAGCTGATCCAGGCCAGGTGGCCCTGGCCCTAGTTGGTCTGGCCTGGCGTCCATGACTTGGCCTGGGCTGGGGGTCATCCCGCCACGAGCATCAGGGTGCATGAGAGGATGCTGGTCTAGGGGTAAGTCCTGCGGGACGGGGCCAGGGTGTGCATCTCGTTCATCTCTTCTCGGACCTGCTGTGCTGGGCCACTCTCCGGGCCTGTGCTGATCGGCTTCAGTTCTGAACTGGGGCCCAGGGAGGGGATGGGGCTTTGCCAGCCCGGCTTCATCACGGCCCCTATCAGGAAACCCAGGTGCAGAGGGCAGTTTTTGTTCCCCTTCGGAGGGGTGTCTGGATCCGCCAGGTCCCGGCAAGGTCTGATCTGGGCCCAAACCACCAGCGGAATCCAGAGCCCGGTCAGCACCTGGGTACACGGTGGAGGGTGCACTTGGACCCACGTCACGTGGTGCTGCAGGCGGTTTCCCTTTGTGCTTAAGAGTTGCTGGCGTAGACTCTATGCCCTGGTTGAGAAGGAAGGAAGGAAGCAGAGACTACAAGTAAGAACGCGTCAGGCTTGGCGGGGCAGGGGTCTGGGGTATCTGAGTGGGACAGCCTAAGGCCCTTCGCGGGGGAAGACCCTCTGGGCCCCAAAACTAAGCTGGACACAGAGAATCTGACACTTTTTTAAAATCCTCACCCGAGGAGATGTGGATACGTTCATTGATTTGCAAGAGAGAGAGAGAGGAAAAGAGAGAGAAACAGCGATTGGTTGCCTCCCCTCCTGTGGGCACCCTGACCAGGATCGAACCCAAACTGGCAACCTAGGCCTGTGCCCTGATCAGGACTCGAACCCATGGCATTTCGGGGTACAGGACGACACGCTAACAAACGAAGCTACACCGGCCAGGGCAGAATTGGACGCTCTTGAAGGATAAGGTCTCCAGATTGTTGAGAATCTGTACATTTGTAGACGGCATCATAATATGTAACTTCCCTCATAAAAGACAGGGGAGCTCTGGCAAGTGTGGCTCAGTGGTTGGAGCGCCGTCCAGTGCACCGAAAGGTCTCCGGTTTGATTCCTGGTCAGGACACATACCCAGGATTAATAAAGGGAGGGGTTCACAGAAAAGTACAAGCGATCCATGCCAACTCTCGCAGAGGCTACAGGGAAAGAGCGTGAGGACGCCCTGGCCGGTCTGGCTCAGTGGATAGAGCGTTGGCCTGCAGACTGAAGGGTCCCAGGTTCAATTCTGGCTAAGGGCACATGCCCAGGTTTCAGGCTTGATCCCCAGGAGGGGGCATGCAGGAGGCAGCCAATCAATGATTCCCTCTCATCATTGATGTTTCTCTCTCTCTCTCCCTCTCCCTTCCTCTCTAAAATCAATAAAATAGATATTTTTTAAAAATTAAAATATGAAGTCTGCCCCGTGATTGGCCCATTGCTGATGGTAGAAGGTACACTGTGGGGCAACTAAACCGCCTAAGGAAGGAGACGCACGGAGATGGCTCAGGAGGTCCGCAGGGGGTCCTCCTCCGGTGTCCACAGCGAAACGACCAGCACGCACACGTGAGGAGATTCCCCGAGGCTGCGGGGACGGTGCCCAGAGTCCGGTCGGGGTGGGAACAGTGCCTGCTTCTACCAGTCAGTTTGGGAGAAACTCCAAATTCAGGGGCAGAGTCCCCAGGAAGGTGGGGCCTTGGAAGTGGGGAACAGTCAGCTCTACACTGACCACTGCTGGGGAAAGAACTTGAAAACATACAGAGAGAGAGAGAGAGAGAGAGAGAGAGAGAGAGAGAGAGAGAGAGAGAGAGAGAGACGGAGGGAGGGACAGGGGAGGGAGGGAGGGAGGAAGGAAGGGAAGGAAGAACGAGTAAAAGAATAAATAAAAAAACATACAGGGAAAGGAACAGCAAGGGAATTCAAGTGGCACAGAGGGGAGGAATGGAGGAGCAGAAAACACAAGATACAGAAAACAAATGGCGTCCCAGGCAGGGCCCATGCCCAGGTCACGGGCTGATCAACGTTTCTCATCATTGATGTTTCCCTCTCTGTCTCTCCCTCTCCCTCCCCTCTCTGAAATCAGTAAAAATATATTTTAAAAAAAGAAGAGTCGTCACCACCCACCTGCCGAAACCCGTAATTGACCTTAAAAATGCCTCCTTTGGAAACCCCCATTTCATAGGTATGCGAAGGGTCCCGCCGGCCACGCCAGAGAAGAAGGTGTCCGGTGAGCGGTACTGGCTCACCTGCGCACGGTGAGACGGCCCGGCCGCGGCCGGCCTGTCCCCGGAGCTCATCCTCTTGCTGCTCAAAATCAGGCAGCGCTGCCACCGATTCTCATTTGCTCCGGGAGTCACTCAGGACTAGGAGCGACTGTCAAAACACCGACACCCTGAGCTCTGGGAGGCGTGACGCTGCCTCAGGACTCACGTGGGTGCTTACTCGTAGGTCTGGCACCCCTTCTGCTGGCACCCCGAGAAAACGCGTGCTCACTCACAGCACACGGCAGTGGTGAAACAGCTTGCGCCTTTTTTTTTTTTTTTTTTGTGGTTTTTAGAGAGTGGGAGAGAGAGGGAGAGACAGAGAGAAACATCGACGTGAGAGAAACACACAGATTGGTTGCCTCCTGCAGGAGCCCCGGCCAGGGCCTGGGCCGGGAGGAGCCTGCAACCGAGGCACATGCCCTTGACGGGAATCGAACCCAGGACCCTCTGGTCCACAGGCCGATGTTCTATCCGCTGAGCCAAACCAGCGAGGGCAAACAGCTTGCACTTTAAACAGCGCTATATAAATGTCTAGTCACTGTTGTGCACCTGAAATGCATGCTGTGTGGCAACTATAATTGAAAAATCTAAAACATGTATATTTTAAACAGCGAACGCAGAAGCCGCCTCTCCTGGCCACGCCCCTCCAGTGCTTTCTGATGGTGCCGTCCTCTAAAGAAGGGCCCAGAATCCAGAAAACAGTCTTGGGGACTAGCGGGGTGTCTTCCGGACCCAGTCAATATTTGTCGCACCCCAGGTGGCCACTTGGTGGCGCCCAAGGGTTCCCTCTCTTCCCTTGGGCGGGCGGGCATATCTGCAGAACCCTTTCTGAGGAACCCAGGTGCACAAAGCCAGGAGAAGGGAAATGTCAAGACCAAACGGACAGCGGAGCCCTGCCTGGTGCCGCTCAGTGGCCAGAGTCTTGGGTTCAATTCCCGGTCGGAGCACATGCCCAGGTTGCCGGTTCGGTCCCCAGCCGGGGCCCGTGCATAGCAACGGGCTGTTTCTCTCACATCCATGTTTCTCTCTCTCTCTCTCCCTCTCCATCCCTCTCTTTCTAGAATCAATGGAAACCGTCGAGTGAGGATTAAAAATAAAAATCGGGGGTGGGGGTGTGGGTGTGGGGGGAGACAGCTGATCCTCACCCCCGAAGGCCATTTGCAAATGCCCATTCTGTTCAGGGAAGCGAGGCTGGGGATTCGAACGGCTCCCTGTGAGCGTTTCCCCGAGTGTAAGAGTCACCATGAGCAAGGGGACCCTCAAGAGGTTTCATTTCCAGGGGTGGCTGCCACCTTCGCCCACTAAGAGTGAAGGGACCCGGGCATTTCAGGGCAGACTGGAGACGAGCCCGGGAACGCTGCAGGAGGAAACCAGGTGCCACCGTCCATCCAGCCAGCTGGCCACACGCCAAGACCCGCGCCACCCACAGGCAGTGCTGGTGGGGCCCGTGAGAACCGACCTCCCCCCTGCGTTGCTGACAGGGCTCTAACCTGGAGCCACACCCACACGAGGCGACTGGCCCGAAGCCAGCCAAGTCACACATGCACTGCCACCTCCGGGAATGTGCCCTGGGGTGTGTGCACGCGTGTGAATGTCACACGGAGCACCTGGTCATAAAATTGGGGGGAAAGTTAGAATACCCGTAACAGGAGACTGTGAAATAAATTATGAACATCCACATACTGGAACCCTGTGCGATGGTAAAAAGGGAGAGCCGGGCCGGTGTGGCACAGTTGGTTGAGCATCGAACCAGGAGCCAAGAGGTCGCAGGATCGATTCCCAGTCAGGGCATATGCCTGGGTTTCAGGCTCAATCCCCAGTGAGGGGCGTGCAGGAGGTAGTTATTGATGCTTCTATCTCTCCCTTCCTCATTCTCCAAAAATCAATTCATATATATATATTAGAGGCCTGGTGATCAAAATTTTGTACACTTGGGAGGGTCCCTCAGCCCGGCCTGTGCCTTCTCACAGTCTGGGATCCCTCGGGGGATGACCACCTGCTGGCTTAGGCCTGCTCCCCGGGGGATTGGGCCTAAGCTGGCAGTCGGACATTCCTCTGGCAGCCCGGGAGCCCTCGGGGGATGTCCACTTGCCAGCAGGGAGCAGTTCTAAGCTTCAGTCGGACATCCTTAGTGCTGCTGAGGAGGCGGGAGAGGTTCCCACCACCACCACTGTACTGGCAGCCATCAGCCTGGCTTGTGACTGAGCAGAGCTCCCCCTGTGGGAGCACACTGACCACCAGGGGGTAACTCCTGCATTGAGCATCTTCCCCCTGGTGGTCAGTGTGTGTCATAGTGACCAGTGATTCCCAGTCACTCTGCTGTTAGGGTCAATTTGCATATTACCCTTTTATTATATAGGATAGAGGCCTGGTGCATGGGTGGGGGCCGGCTGGTTTGCCCTGAAGGGTGTCCTGGATCAGGGTGGGGGTCCTGCTGGGGTGCCTGGCCAGCCTGGGCAAGGGGCTGAGGGCCGTTTTCAGACTGGCCACACCCCCTTAGCGGGGGTCCCCACTGGGGTGCCTAGCCAGCCTGGGTGAGGGGTTGAGGATCGTTTTCAGGCTGGCCAAACCCCCTTCAGGGAGGGGGGTTCTGCTGGGGTGCCTGGCCAGCCTGGGTGAGTGGCTGATGGCTGTTTGCAGGCTGGCCACAGCCCCTTCAGGGTGGGGGTCCCCACTGGGGTGCCTGGCCAGCCTGGGTGACGGGCTGATGGCTGTCTGCAGGCTTGCCACGGCTCCCAGCCACCCAAGCTTCCAGTGGAGGCTGGCTGGAAGCAGGTATTTGGGATTTATTTAGCTTCTATAATTGAAACTTTGTTGCCTTTTGCGGAGGCCACAGCCAGCCGGGAAGCTTGGCTTCCTCCATCACCGGGGCAACCAAGCCTCCAGCTTGCTCCAGCTCTGAGGCTGCTGGCCGCCATCTTGGTTGGGTTCATTTGCATATAGTCGCTCTGATTGGCTGGTGGGCATGGCTTGGGTGTATCGAAGGTATGGTTAATTAGCATATTTGTCTTTTATTAGTGTAGATATAAATTTTTTTAAGGGAGAGGTTGCCTAGCTGGTGTGGCTCAGCGATTGAGCATCGACCCAGGAACCAAGAGGTCTCTGGTTCGATTCCCAGTCAGGGCACATGCCTGGGTTTCAGGCTCAATACCCAATAGGGGGCATGCAGGAGGCAGCCAGATCGATGCTTCTCTCTCATTAATGTTTCTCTCTACCCCTCTCCCTTCCCCTCTAAAAATACATACATACATACATACGTACATACGTACATGCGTACATACATACATAAAAAGGAAGAGATGTGGGAGAACCCACTGAGCCCGCTGCCCAGCCCCTGCCCACGTGGGCACCACCTGTGAAGCCTTCCAGCCATCAGTAATCGCCTGCTCCAGCTCCTCCCAGGTGACCATGGTGAGTTCTTCTCCAGGAGTCATCACAGTCATCTTCCGACAGAGGGGTTCCTGAGGGCACAGATAACATGGGTGCGCCTGCGCACACACACCCAGCTGAATCCGGCGGTCTCAGGGACAGAGCCGAGCTCACAGGACCAGCGGCTCCTTCCACAGCCCTGGCCCCAGGAGAAGTTACTGGGCCCTGGGCCGCTGGCTTCCTGTCCCCTCTGGGCCCTGATGGAGCGCAGGGCAGCCATGGAAAGGATCCCTTCAGAGGCAGAGGGCGTACACATCATCCCCGCTCAGAGGGACACAGACATCCAGGGCGGGGCTCTGGGGGAGCCCAAGGGATGGGGCCAGGCTGCGGGCACCCCTCCTCCTCCACCCCCTCACGGACATTACCAGGCGTTCCTCCCAGTTTTTGACTGTCTTCTCTACTTCCTCAACCCGTTGCAGGAATTTCTGGAAGAAGAGTGCAGAGGTGGCAAGTCAAAGCAGGCGCTCCTGTGGGCCCCCCCACCCCCAATCCTCGCAGGGGAGAGGAGAGGAGGGAAGACAGAGGTGGGTAAGCCAACAAGAACGGGACATGGGGCGGGGCGGGGCGGGTGGGAGTAGGGACAGATGTACCAGGAGCAAAGGCTACTGCTGGGATGGGAGCCTGTGGTCCTGGATCCACCTCAGACAAACCACTGAGGAGACACTGCCTCCAAGGACGAGGGTAGCGAGGACTTTTCTGCTTAAAAGCAAATTGCCGCCCGCCCTGCCTGGTTTGGCTCAGTGGAAAGAGCATTGGCCGGCGGCGGCCTGAAGGGTCCCAGGTTGGGTTCCCATCAAGGGCACATGCCCAGGGGATGGGCCCGATCCCCAGTGGGGTGTGGAGAGCGGCTACAGCGTTTGGACAGGTTCAAGCCTTGGACTAACAAGAGGGCACGGTCCTCTCGTGGCAAAGCCACATGCGAGTCCCAGGTTGGAGGACAAAGCCCTCCCAGCACAATGACAGCCAGAGGCCGTGGCTGTGAGCTTGACCTTATGGTCCGAACCTGTGGGCCCACGTGGCTGAGTGATGTGGGCTGCGGGAGGTGCAGCAAGTAAACAAAGCTTGACCAGGTGCATGTAATTGAGTAGGTTTGAAACCGCCGAGAACGTTGTAAACATCTTGACGTCGCCTTTACTTTGCCTCCTGGAGTCTGGCTATAAAATAAACTCGGCTTGCAGGCTGTGGCGAGTGCCTGAGAGAGTGCAATGTCGCACGGAGCCCCGGCTTTATTCTCTTGCCTGTCTTTCCCATCCTTCACTGCCCCCTCTCAGGTTCACCCCTGGCTGTGCAGGCAAGGCACATAGGGGGTGTGCAGGAGGCAGCCAATCAATGATTCTCTCTCATCATTGATGTTTCTTTCTCTCCCTTCCTCTCTGAAATCAATAAAAATATATTTTTAAAAATAAAAAAAAGCAAACTGCAGAAGCTTGTAACTTTGGCAAACATCCATCATCTAAGATTCTAAGAGTAAATAAAAAGCCTTTTCTCTAAACACCAAAACCATAAAACCATATAAACACCACACTTTCAAAAGCAAAGCTTTTGTCCTAGCCGATTTGGCTCAATGGATAGAGTGCTGGCCTGTGGAGCAAAGGGTCCTGGTTCAATTCTGGTCAAGGGCACATGTCTGGATTACTGGCCGACCCCTGGTGTGGGGTGTGCAGGAGGCAGCCGATCTATGATTCTTTCTCATCATTGATGTTTCTCTCCATTCCTCTCTGAAATCAATAAAAATATATCTTTTAAAAAATTATTAAATATTATTTTTAAAAAGCAAAGCTTCCCACAACAAAAATGAGCACCGCTGGGGTCTCAAGGCTTAGAATGACCCAGGGGGGCAAAAAGGCTTCTGGGCGGAGTCCCCCCCCCCCCCGCCCCCCTTCCACCTCTGAGCCCTCCCTCGCCACCGCCTGTCTTAGCCGGGTCCCTGGTCAGCTCTGGTCCCCTCTGGAGGCCTCGAGGGCAGAGGCAGGAGCCGGGACAGGTCAGCACCTGGGGAGGGCCTGCGCGTCTTGCTCCAATGAAAGCGTTGCTGCGCCTGCGGTTGTGCGTTGGGGGCTGAAAGGGTGACCCCAGAACGCTCTCCATCCCTGCCCCCCTCTTCCGGAACTGAGCTTTGTCTCTCAGTACCGACCACCTTATCTATTTGTGAATCCTCACCCGAGGATTTTTTTTCTTCATTGATTTTTAGAGAGAGTGGAAGGGAGAGGGAGAGACACACACCGAGGTACCTGCCGGTGACTGGGATTGAACCTGGAACCCTTCAGTCCGAGGGCCGACGCTCTATCCACTGAGCCAAACCGGCTTCCCTCTGGGTGGCTTCGGGATCCTTGGGTGTCTGATGAGCGGTGGGTGAGCGTCCCTGAAAAGGGGGGGGGGGGGGGCTGCGAGAGACGGGGTGGGGTCCCCGCCGCCCTCACCATCGGGTTGAACTCTGGCAACTCCTGCGCCCTTGCATGGTCTTCCTTCAAGACTTTCACGTCTTCCACGACCCGCTGGAGCAGCTCCATGACCTGCAAGGCGAGCGGGGCCACATGGGCGGGGCTGCACGAGGCTTGGCGCCGCCCCCACGTGATGGCGGTCAGCTCGGCCCGAGCCCTGAGCCCTGAGCCCTGAGCCCGAGAGCGGATTGGAGGAGGCCGGTATGCTCTCACCTGGGGACCTTCCTTCCACAGTTTCATTAACCCTCGCGTCTTCTCGGGCATCTGCTTGGCCATCCCAGGAACGGTCGTGGCCATCTCCGGAGTGGGCGGGGCCACCCCCGGCGCAGGCGCGACCAACCCCGGCGTGGGCACGGCCACCCCCAGCGGAGGCTTTGTTGTCTCGGGCTTCGCCTTGCCCATCCCGGGCACCGCCTTGCCCGTCCCCGGCACAAGCTTGGTCTTCGGGAGCGCGCCCTTCTCCATGGTGGGCGCGCCCTTCTCGGTGATGGGCGCGCCCTTCTCCATGGTGGGCGCGCCCTGCTCGGCCATGGACACGCCCCTCTCGTCCATGAGCGCGCCCCTCTCGGTCATGGACGCGCCCCTCTCGGCAATGGACGCGCCCCTCTCGGCCATGAGCGCGCCCTGCTCGGCCATGAGCGCGCCCTGCTCGGTCATGGGCGCGCCCTTCTCGGCAATGGACGCGCCCCTCTCGGCCATGAGCGCGCCCTGCTCGGTCATGGGCGCGCCCTTCTCGGCAATGGACGCGCCCCTCTCGGCCATGAGCGCGCCCTGCTCGGTCATGGGCGCGCCCCTCTCGGCCATGGACGCGCCCCTCTCGGCCATGGACGCGCCCCTCTCGGCCATGGACGCGCCCCTCTCGGCCATAGACGCGCCCCTCTCGGCCATGAGCGCGCCCTGCTCGGTCATGGGCGCGCCCCTCTCGGCCATGGACGCGCCCCTCTCGGTCATGAGTGCGCCCTGCTCGGTCATGAGCGCGCCCTTCTCGGTGATGGACGCTCCCGGCTCAATGATGAGCGGGGTCCTCACAGCACCCAACCCCTCGGCCAAAGTAAAGGCTTTCGCCTGCTCTTCTAGCCACTCCGAGGTCTCGGAGTCCATCCCACCGACCAGAGTGGTGAAGTACTGGATGTGAGACAGCACGCCCTGCATCTGGCTGTCCATGGTCTTTAACTGCCGTTCGAGGTCCTGGACCTGCCCGCCCAGGTTCTGGACCTGCCCGTCCAGGTTCTGGACCTGCCCGCCCAGGCCCTTCATCTGGCTCTCCAGCACCACGGACGGAACCCTGGTCACGCTGCTCCTTCGCCTCTCCTTGGACACAGCGATCTGCGGGGTGCTGATGGAGCCCCGCGGGGTGCTGAGCGAGAGCCGCGTGATCGCTGAGAGCCTCCGCTCAGACAGGGGCTGGTAGTCCACCCGGGTGTCCTGCATGTTGAGGTTCTTGAGCAGGGCCACGAGGAGCGTGTGGAGAGCATTGAAGTTGACGGCACCCACCTCCGGAGTGCCGATGGCCAGGTCGGCCAGCTCGCGGAGGGAGACCACGCCTGCGGGCGGCATCGTGCGCAGCCTCAGGTGCGCTCAGCCTCGGCGGCCAGACGGTTGGCCATGCCCCGCTCACTGCTCGCAGCGCCCCTGAGGGGTCCCGGGGCGCCCTGCCCCTGGGCCCAGCCGCACTGGGCACCAGCCATCATCTGGAGCCTGCCTGGAGGACGGAGAGGAGCGCCGCTCCCGGGCGGGGCGGGGGCGCCGCCAACCGTCCGCCGACCGGTCGGCCTCTGCTGGAGCCCAGGGCTGCCCTCCCCGCGGGAGGGTGTCGGTGGACGTTTGGAACGGCGGTGGGTCCGCCCCGTTGTGGGTTCCGCGCGGAAGAACGCACGCGCCGCGCGGGGGTGAGGGCGACGCGGCGCCGGTCGGGACCAGCCCGCGCACTGCGGGAGCCTTTCCCGTGGGAATCTGGGGGACACTTGGCTGCCACACTCCAAGGCGCCATTTTTATTCTCCGTGAACGCTCCCAAGGGAAGGTGGCGAGGGACTGTCGCCGGCATTTTTCCAGGGAGCACACTGGTGTGGGGAGGGGAGGCCTCCTAAGGCTCACCCCGATGCCAGCCTCCCTCACCCAGAAAGGCCCAGGACTCACTACGAAGGCATCATCCTGGCCTTATGCCGAGTGTCCTTCGGGCTCCATTACGCAGAGCAGCGGCACAAACCTAGGGCGCGGTTCTGCGTCCTTGGCCCCTTGGGGGCAGTTCCCCTCTCATTTTGCACAACCGGAAGGGAAGGGAACAGAAAAGACCACTCACCACCCATGTGTCCCAATCACTCGCCAGGTGACAGGCCTTTTCTGCTGCCGAATTAGACCTTGTTGGTGCTCCTGACCTCGCAACACACGCAGCGGGCAGGTGCCAGCATTGCAGCTCGTTGCCAGGCAGGATGGCACCTCCATGGACCAAGGTGGTGCCTGGACAAGTGAGGCTCCCCGCCCGGTGCCAGGTTCCTGCGGACGGCCCTGCGACGTCAGGAAAGCGAAAGCAAGCCTGCGGGTGCATCTGCAGGTACTATTTTAACTGCTTTCACATTCAAGGTTTTAGTTTAGTCTGAGCTGGTACAACGTAATTGAAACCCTTTATGGACACCCCCCTTTCCCCACCCCCCACAAAAGGAGTGTTCCCTGGAAATGGAGTTAAAGACAAGTCTAGCCCTGGCAGTTTTTCCCAGTGGTTAGTGCGTCGACCCGCAGACTGAAGGGTCTGGATTTGATCCCTGATCAAGGGCGTGAACCTTAGTTGCAGGTTTGATCTTTGGCCCCGGTTGGGGCATGTGCACCAGTCCATGCGTCTCTCTCAGATTTCTCTCTCTCTCTCTCTCCCCCTTTCACTCTCTTTAAAAATCAATGGAAAAAATATCCTAAGGTGGGGATTTAAAAAAAAATCAATGAAACAAACACGAGTCTGTAACTCCACCACGGACTGTTCGCCGTTCTATTCCCAGAGCCTGGCACACAGGCCTGCAGGTGGTTGTTATTTTCCAGAGAACAAACTCTTTGCACGCTCATGCGCTCACCTTAGGGAACGTAAGGCCAGGTCACAAAGCCACACACAGCCTTGGGAGCGGGCCTGGCCGCCCTGGAAGCTGCGGTGCTGCGCTCTCTCCATCCCCAGCTCAGTGACTTTCCGAAGGACTGTCACTGCTACTGCGCTGGCCACGGCGGGAATGTCCGCTCCCCGACTCCGGTTTTCATCTTAAAATATATTTTTAATGATTTCAGAGAGGGAGGTAGAAACATCAATGAGGAGAATCACTCATCAGCTGCATCGCTTGGCTGTCTCCTGCACGGCCCCTACTGGGGACCAAGCGATGTACCCTGACCGGGAATGGACTGTGACCTAGTTCATAGACCCATGCTCAAACCACTGAGCTGCACCAGCCGGGCCCGTTTCCATGTTCATCAGAGACTTGGTATCAGGCCAGGCACATGAGGACTTTCTGCCAGTGGAAAGGGCATATTCTAACATGTACTCATTCTAATCCCAGGAAATACATTCTACTGAATGCTTTCACCAAGTACATGCACTTGGGGAAATAGTAAATGGAGGTATAAATGGGACTTGGTTGAAAGGACCTTTGCTTTCAATTCCAAACCTCTTTATACTGCGGACGACAGAGGCCCGGGAAGGACGAGCCGCCTGGCTGAGCTGGGAGCCAGGTCTCCTGAGGAAGCCTGTGGCTCTTCCCTGCCCGCGCTCATTTCATAGTTCAGTTCTTTGCTCAAAATGACCCAACTTGGCCTCCTAACAGCAGCAACCTATTTGTATGCTTGAAAAGCTAATGGGCTCAAAGTCTTGCCTGCAGGCTAGGAACTTTTCTAGTCCTTAGGGAAGGGATAAAAATGTCAATGAGCCCGGCCGGAGTGGCTCAGTGGTTGAGCATTGACCTATGAACCAGGAGGTCATGGTTCGATTCCCAGTCAGGGCACATGCCTGGGTTATGGGCTCGATCCCCAGTGGGGGACGTCCAGGAGGCAGCCGAGCAATGATTTTCTTTCATCATTGATGTTTCTCTCTCTCCCTCTCCCTTCCTCTCTGAAATAATAAAAATGTACATATATATATTTTTTAAAAATATATTTTATTGATTTTTTTACAGAGAGGAAGGGAGAGGGATAGAGAGCCAGAAACACCAATGAGAGAGAAACATCGATCAGCTGCCTCCTGCACACTCCTTACTGGGGATGTGCCCGCAACCAAGGTACATGCCCTTGACCAGAATCGAACCTGGGACCCTTGAGTCCGCAGGCCGACGCTCTATCCACTGAGCCAAACCGGTCAGGGCAAAAATGTACATATATTTTTAAAAGTCAACAAAACTTCCCTGCAGAGAAACACAACTGTACAAAATGTGCAAAGTGGCCTTTATTGTCTCCGAGGAACTACCAGACCCAATAAGCAATTCCGGGTCCCAGCCGGGCAGACACCCTCCTTCCCATCACTGCACTCGGCCTGACCGGACTAGACCAGACGGGCGGAAAGTTTACACCACACGGCAGCAAGGTCCCCTCGACAAACGGGTGGAAGTCAGGGTTCTGACTGTGTAAGCTTAAATGCTGGGTAGAAAGGCCAAGTGCAGTCCTAAGTGATTCAATAAGTGATTCACCTCCAACTGGGAAACGTACAATTAGTTGTTTTACAAATTTAGATCTTAACCCTATTACTCAACGAGGATCTCACCCCAACGGGTAGGAAGGACAGGACCTTCGAAGGCTGCGGCCTGGGACCCCACGGACCCCACCCCTTTACTGTATCCCTCGTCTCCTGCAGAGTCTGGACCAAGTTAGTCACCAGGAGGCACGACAGTGCGTGGCTGTGCCACGGCGTGAAGAGCCTTTCATTTGCAACTGAAGCGCAAGGCGCACACCCAGAGAGGGCGCTGCTCTCTGACCTGCGTCCTTGCTGGGGAGCAACACAACGCCGCCCGATTGCCCACTGGCTGCAGACACAGCCGTTTCTCCGAGGAAAACGCAATTCTCTCCAGAAGGTTCACCTGCGGCTGCCGAAGGCGAGGACAATTGGAAGACAATTGGCTTCCCTCCCCAGGCTGGACATGCACACGCACTTCCCTGCGGCTGAAACAACTGAACGAATGTTCTAGAGTTAACACTGCCTGCGCTAAGTCCTGTCAACACCGTAAGGCTTTCTGGTTCTCTCAGGAAAGCGCCGTACTTTCCTTTAGGGAACAGGGTGTGAGGGCACACAGTGAAGGCCATTTATCCATGAGCTATGTCTCCCTCTCGACGATTTTAATGCTTCCCACCGACCAACCCTGACGGGAGGCGATCTGGCTCCCTTGAAAGGAAACACCGGGTACATAATTGATGGCACTGCTTTGCTCAGGAGTCCCAGGCCAAGGCCAAAGCCGCCGGAGAGCTAGTCGTCCACAGTGATGTTC